AGCTGGTGAACAGAGGGAGGGATGAGGAAGAGTGGCGATGTGGGGGAGTGGTAGTTGGGTAAATAAGTAACCGTCTTTGTTGCAGAGAAGCTTCACTTTCCAGGCTTTTTTTTATTCATTCACAGGATGAGGGCATCGCTGGCCAGGCAGCATTTATTGCCCATCCCTAATTGCCCAGAAGGCAGTTGAGAATCAACCACATTCCTGTGGATCCGGAGTCACATGTAGGCCAGACCAGGTAAGGATGGCAATTTCCTTCCCTGAAGGGCATTAGTGAACCAGATGGGTTTTCCCAACAATCGACAATGGATTCATGGTCATTATTAGACTCTTAATTCCAGGTTTTTATTGAGTTCAAATTTCACCATCTGCCAGGGCAGGATTCGAACCTGGGTCTCCAAGACATTATCTGGGTCTCTGGATTAACATTTCCAGCGATAATACCACTAGGCCATTGCAATTTCCTTGCTTATAGCCAAATTCGAAGCATTTCAGCTACCCACTACTTTGTCAGTAAAGTTTAACAGTCAAGAGATAGCAGACAATATAGATTTAAGAAAGAGCCAGTTTGCATTTACATAATGCATTGTCTTTCAAGGTCTCCTCATGCACTCTTTGCCAAAGTACTCTACAGACAAAGAATTACTTCAAAATGCATGCATTGCTATAATGTAGCAAATGCTGCAGTCAATCTGTGCAAAGCACACTTCCACAAAATAAATTTTAAAAACAGGTTTGAGGATTTTGTGACTCACTAGGGATAGCACATGGTAAATCAAGCCCCATTATTCCCCAACTTATCATAAATGTGAACAGCACATTAAATCATAGAATGGTCCATTACTATCCAATGACCTAATTCAGATGAAAAGAATATGCACACTAGGTTTCTCTCGTTACAACAAATAGTTATTTTCTTGTTACCAAACTGTTTTTAACCTAGACAAAAAGTAGGTAAGTTGAATAGCTCATCTACGCCATTGCACACATACTGACAGATACAAATACAGAAAACAAATAAATATTATGGGTGGACCAAGGAAATATGGTTCAGTAGCACTAGTCCGGACCAAAGATGTCAACCAGTATTTTCTTTTGATTTCTTTCAACTCTTTGCTGAGGAGACAAGATTGTGGATACACTGATTCTCAGTCTCACATTCACTGGCTGAAAATTCACCTTTTCACAGCCTCCAAAGGTGGGTTTTCCCTTTTGGCTTTTAAAATGGTATTTGTAAAGACAGCAGCTTGCAGGGGAAAGATGAGGAAAAATGACTAGCTTCTGAAGAAGAGTCTAGGCCCGAAACGTCAGCCTTCCTGCTCCTCCGATGCTGCTTGGCCTGCTGTGTTCATCCAGCTCTACACCTTGTTATCTCAGATTCTCCACCAGCTGCAGTTCCTACTATCTCTAGCTTCTGGGGATTTGCTTTTACTTCTCCACATAGAAGCAAGAGAGAGATGGATGCTTTCACTTTCCAGGCTAGATACTTCTGCTGTTTATTTATCTACAATGCTGTAGACACCTGCCCAGGAACCAATCAAGGAGGTAGTTACCATGCTGAGTTCTTCCAAGTCCACAACAACTGCTACTGATTACAAACTCAATCAAGAGGCTGGCAGAATTGTCCTGAACACAAACAGGCAATGCCGATTTGTCTGGATTTCTCCTTCACTACCCTGAGACATCATTGGATACAGAATTCTCAATGTGCGCCACTAACTTCTTTTTAAAACTACAAATATCTTCTCACAGTTTCCATGGTTTAAAGCACCGTCAACACCAACTGGCAAGAAAAAGACACGACCGATACTCACTCATTTCCATCCACATGGATAAGGAAAACCACCAGTTCAATTGGGACAACACCAGGATCCTAGGACAGGCCAAGCAAAGACAAGCACGGGAATTCCTAGAGGCCTGGTTCTCCACTAAGAAGGCCGTCAACAAACATATAGAGCTAGACCCTATATACACACCACTGCGAAGGAAAACCGGAAATGGGGTAACCCAGCTCAACAGACACCAGAGTTTAAACAACAGGTGGGAAACATAACAGCGCTTCATCGGAGGCTGCGCTGATGATGTTACCCAGCAGGGTAATGAAACGTCTGTGGAACAACGAACCAACTCGGCGAGCCAACCAACCACAACCTATAACTTTCTCAGTGCAGTGGTGGAAGTGTGTTACAGGCTGAGCCAAGACTAAAACCCTTAGACTATGTGAGGAAAACTCTGAGCTTAAGAACTAAAGTTAAGGGATCCTGAGCAAGAACTAATCGGCACTCTTGAATTCAACAGTGTAAATGACATATTTCGATTTTTCTCCTAACTTAAAAAACCACGAGAGAAAAGGATGGTTTGAAGCATGGCTGCCAGATCATAAGTACAAGTTCAGAGGAGTAGGCCATTCAGCCCTTTGAGCCTGCTCTGCTATTTGATTAATTCCTGACTGATCTGACAGCCCGTCATTTCTGCCTACCCCAGATAACCTTTCATCCCCTTGCTCATCAAGAATTTATCCATCTATACCTTAAAAATATTCAAGGACTCTGCTTCCACTACCTTTGGAAGAAGAGAGAGTTAGTTCCAAAGGTTCATGACTGTCCATGAGAAAAACTTCTCCATCATGTGTATCTTCATATTTTTAAACAGAGGTATCTATGTCAATGCTCAAGCTGCTTAGGCTCAGTTCAGATGTTTGCACGTTCAGCTGAAGCTTTTCAACTAAGTTCCATGCAGGAAAGGAAATCACAGTCATGTCATTTATGAGTTATTATTGTTATTAAGGAGGCCAAAGAATGAGCACCCATGATCTGAAGTCATGACCGGAAATAGGTAGGTCTTTAAATTCCTTTCATCCATCTGTTCCATCAGTGAATATTTAACAGATGTGGAACTACAGGCAGTCTGAGCCCCGTGCATCTGTACTGGAGACAAAGGGACAAAGAAATTGAGAATGTACAATCTATATTACCCAGCACCATGTCTGTGTCTGCTGCAAGAATTTGGGGACCAATGACTGTGCTGGCTTCCCGAGTCAATTAGCCTGCCAAGACCCACTGCATGTCTCCTATACAAGAAACTCCAGAACCCCATAATATCTCCAGACCTAAAGCTGAATGTATCAGCTTTTACTTTACTGCTACAACATTGTATATTGAGCTGGATGAATACGCATGTGCACTCCACTGTAGCCAACCATACACAAAATATATATACACAAAGGTCAACCCCCATCCCTTCTCAAAACCAGGCAAAACACATTTGGTTACACACAACTTGAGTATTGCTGAAAAATAAACATATTTTTGTGGAATCTTTTAATTCTGTACTCAGCAGGACAATCGTGAAGATACTATTAAAGGGAAAAACCAAAATTCATACTATATGAGAGGAAAGTGCTGATTGGTTGGAAGTTAGACTTGGATTGGTGGAGGCATTTCCATTAATATACCATTAAATGATGATTGACAGTTAACTGCTAGGCTTTGTTTAAATTTTAAATTTGTGGGGCCCTTGTGGCACAGTGGTAATGTCCTTACATCTGAGCCAGGAGGTCTGTGTTCAAGTTCCACCTGCTCCAAAGGTACAACATGACATCACCGAACAGGCTGATCAAAAAACAGCTAAACAACTCTGTCCCCATATATATATATTTTTTGTGTATCATTGGCTACAGTGGAGTGCACATGCATATTTATCCAGCTCAACGCACAGTGTTGTAGCCTTAAAGTAAAAGCTGATACATTCAGTTTTAGGTCTGAGATATTATGGGGTTCTGGAGTTTCTTGTATAGAAGACATGCAGTGGGTCTTGGCAGGCTAATTGACTCTGGAAGCCAGCACAGTCTCTCGTAGTACAATGGTACTGTCCCTATCTCTGAATTAGAAGGCCTAGGTTCAGGTCTACCTGCTTCAGATATGTGTTTTAACATTTATGCATAGGTTCAATAGAAAATACCTAAATTTAAAACTAGTAGATTGATTGGTCAAGACATTGCCCTGAGAAATTAACTAAAGAATAGCTGCTGCTTTGAGTTGAAGCTGATGTAGTGCTTGTCCATGCTCATTCTGCCTGCAAAGAACAGAGCCCTGTATATTAATGTGTAGCTTCCAGTACATGCCAGTTTAGTGCACTGCAGCTTCAGCTCAACATAAATATATTTCCTCATTTTCAATTTCTTTTCCCTTTGAACATGTCTAACCAACAGATCCACAGAAGATATTAAAGCTGAGAAAGATGCATTGGAGATATCAGCAAGAAATCCCAACAATTCTCTGCTTTGTATGTTATTGGAAGCATTTTTCCATTTATAGCAGTGTAACAACTCTAGAAATACAGCAGAGAAGAACATCGCACAAACATGTTAGGTGATCACTCACTAAATCAATTGAGCATGAATATCATTTACCGTAGTCATGGGCTTAAACAATCCCCCTTTAACAACATTTTTCATTAAGCTTCTTTAATGCAGCAAAATGTCCCATGGCACTTCACAGCAGCATTATCTAAAAAATATTAGTGCCAAGTCACTTTAGGTGTTAATAGAACAGGCAAGTTAAAGCTTGTCAAAGAAGTGAGTTTTAAGAAAGACCTTAAAGGAGCAAAGGGAGACAGTGGGCTGTGGGGGTGTGGATGGGAATAGCAGAACTCGGGGATGATACAGCTGACATTACACTGACAATGGTGGAGCAATTACATCACAGAGTGCAAGGGTCTCAAATGAGAAGAATTGGCAATCGGGTCAGTTGTCCAGTTTTCAACTTCAAAGAACTTACAACGCTGCTTGAAAACTGAAAAATTATTGAATTGGCAGCATTGTGCTAGAGCTCAGGTGCACAATACAGGCTGGCTCACTAGTTAAGTCACAGCGCAGAGATGGAATGACTCATAGCTGTATGTGACATTATTTTCCCACCTAAACCACCATGTAGTTTGAAATTTGCAGGCACCACATTCATGGTGCATTGTATACAGTCAGAAAAGTTGAGCACACTTACCTGACTCAGGTTCATCAGCTGCTATACACTCTTCAATTGGCTCCTTCAGGCCTAGGCTGGCTGCTGTAGGCAGGGGGCCTAACAGAGAGGATATATTCGGGGGTTTGGGTGGAGGCTCTGATTCTTTCTCCTCATCTGTTCTGTCATTCTCTTTTGGACGCTCTTCATTTAGGAAATCATCACAGAAATCTTTGTTCAGATGGTTTGCGACTGCTGTCAGCTCTTCATCCTCACCCTCTTCCTCACCTAATCCACTGGAGGTTACCGAAGCTCCATCATCCAGAGTATCTGGAACACAGTATTTCTCCAGTGATAAAAAATGAAAACAGTTTGCAAATAGCCAGTGAGTCAGAAGCTATGGAGTTTCCTTGCAAGATCTAATTTACTAAACAGCTTAATTGCTTTTTTAGATTTCTATTCATAATCAACATCTCGATTAAACTACAGAACAAAAACAAAGTTGCTGGAAAAGCTCAGCAGGTCTGGCAGCATCTGTGAAGGAGAAAACAGAGTTAACGTTTCAGGTCTGGTGACCCTTCCTTGATTAAACTAGAGTCTGTAGTTCCTACCTGGGTATCTGCTGTTGTACATATATCCCACCTGTATATACATGGTATATATCACCAAACGAGGCAAGTGAATACATGTTGAACAGTAGGACCCTGGGGAAGCACTGAGGATGTGAGGGACCTCAGCGTGCATATCCACCAATTTCTTAGATTATCAAATAAAGTGGTTAAGAAGGCATATGACATACTTCAGGCATAGAGTTTAAGGGCAGAGAGGTAATGCTGGAACTGTATAACACATTGATTAGGCTACAGCTAGAGTAGTGTGTGTAGATCTGGAAACCACAATATAGGAGAGCTATGATAGCACTGGAGAGAGTGCAGAGGAGATTTACCAGGATGTTGCTTGGGCTGGAGAGTTTCAGAGATTGGACAGACTGGGGTTATTTTCCTTGGAACAGAGGAGATTGACAGGGGACATGAAAGAAATGAGGGGCATAGATAGGGTAGTCAGGAAGAAAATTTCCCCTTGAAGGAGGGGTCAATGACAAGGAGGCATAGATTTAAGGTAAGGGGCAGGAGGTTGAAGAGTTATAAGGCAAAACCTTTTCACCCTGGAACTCAAGATCCCACAATGAGACTACTGGCGACTGTAGAGAGTGTAGATCATACCAGTTTGAATGGTATGATCTGCCTGTACTGCATGCAGAACACAACTTTTCACTGTAGCCTCTCTGCTCCTATGATGCTGCTTGGCCTGCTGTGTTCATCCAGCCCTGCACCTTGTTGTCTCACAACTTTTCACTGTACCTAGGTACATGTGACAATAATAAATCAAATCAAATCAAATCAAATATATTTCTGGGGTGATAGTTAGAGGAATGTTGACTCAGGGCAAGCATGTTTTATTTTTAAAATAATAACATTATTTGTTATTCACACAATACATTAGTCAAATAGGACATCATCCAAAGGATAGGACCTCTGACACTGTCACAAGCTTTCTGCATTGGTGTTAGCATATGTTACTCTCCTGGAATGCAACGTGAAACAGCAGTTAGCTGTTTAAGAAGTTTGATTCAGAACAATAACATTAATTGATCTTTTCCCCTTCCTGAGGTTTAAGTCACCGGAGGTCAATCACAGAGACTTCCACTCCAGTGTTGCCTTGTGAGGACCCATTAACTCAAGACAGGATAGATAGAAGTGTTGTATCAGGTCCTAGTGGCCTAATCATGAAGGATGCTTCTGTGATGAAGTCAGTCCAGGATTAGCCATGAAGCTCCACACTTCAGAGCCCATGAAGAATAGTAACTTGAGGGAGGTGATGGAATACTGCCTGTATTCATGGTACATTGTACATTAAAATGTTATTAAAATACAGTTAATCTCTTCACAATGACTCAAAAAAAGCAAATTGTTATGTGTACATACCTCCTTTAGCATAATTCGCATATGCTCCTCGATACCTTGGTCGAGTGATCTCCAGCTCAGTCTCAATCTCATCTTGATAACTTGCAATTTCACCTGCAAAGTATCAACATAATTTTTATTTTTAGAATGCATACTGTGAATACTAACCTACAAATGACCAACTATGAAGGTAAACTCTTCATTGCTAGAAGTGGGAAAAGGTTGGGGGAGATAGGGTTAGACACAAGTGAACACGTTTGAAAAAAGAGAAAAAGAAAGAGAGAGAGATTTAGGTTGTAGACAAGCTCGCCAAGCTGGTGGGTTTGGTTGTAAGTGTTTCATCACCCTGCTAGGTAACATCGTCAGTGCACCTCCGGTGAAGGGTCGGTGTTCTGTCCCACTTGTTATTTATATGCCTCGGTTTGCTGGGGTGGTTGGTATTACTTTCGGTTCTGTTTCTCAGTGGTTTGTACACAGGGTCTAATTGAAGGTGTTTGCTGATGGAGTTCTGGTTGGAATACCGGGTCTCCAGGAATTCCCTGGCGTGAATCTGTTTGGCTTGTGTGATTATGGATGTGTTGTCCCAGTCGAGTTCGTGTCCCTCGTCTGTGTGTAGTGAGACAAGTGAGAATTGGTGGTGTCTCTTGGTGTTCATGTATCCTTATAGTCAATTTTCTGCCGGTTTGGCCTATGTAGTATTTCTCACAGTCCTTGCATGGTATTTTGTATATTACATTAACTTTACTGGTTGTGGGTCTGGGATCCTTTACGTTCGTCAGTAGCTGTCGCAGGGTGGTTGTTGGTTTGTGAGCTACCGTGATACCTAGGGGTCTGAGTAGTCTTGTGGTCATCTCTGAAATGTCCTTGATGTATGGTAGGGTGATTAGTGAGTCCGGTCATATTGTGTCTTCCTGTTGTGGTCTATCTGGGAGGTAACAGTGGATTGTGCTTTTCGGGCATCCATTCCTTTTGAAGACTCCGTATAGGTGCTCCTGTTCTACTTTGCGTAGTTCCGGATTGCTGCAATGTATTGTGGCTCATTTAAATAGTTTCTTGATGCAGCTCCATTTGTAGGCGTTGGGATGGTTGCTAGTGTAATTGAGTATCTGGTCTCTATGTGTGGTCTTTCTATATACGCTGGTCTAGAGTTCCCTGTTGTTTTTGCGTTCTACGTCCAAGAAGGGTACTAGGTTGTTGTTCCCTTCTTCTTTCGTGAATTTTTTCCTGGTAAGGATGCGGAACAGAACGGCTGCAGAATGATAAGGGTTATGATCGACGATGCCCACAACTGCCTCCACAAATACGAGTGGGAAATTGCACACCAAAAAACTCCATACTCCAACGCAACCAACCAGCAATGGACATCCACACTGGAACAAGCCATCAGCATACAACAACAAAAGACTAGAACAACGAAAAGAATAGCCCTTCAAGAAAAACTGTCCAAAATCACCCACATCAACGACACGGACAACACAGATTCATGGATTAAAAACATCTCGGACCAACCTCTTACAGACACTGAGAGGACCATCCGAGTACACAGAGGATCCCACACCCAAAACCAGCAAAACCGGTGTAATATACAAAATACCATGCAAAGACTGTGAGAAATACTACATAGGCCAAACGGAAGAAAATTGACTATACCGATAAATGAATATTAAAGAGCCACCAAGAGATACGACCAATTCTCACTTGTCTCACTACACACAGACAACGAGGGACATGAATTCCACTGGGATAACACATCGATAATTGCACAAGCTAAACTGAGACATGCCTGAAATTCCAACCGGAACTCCATCAACAAACACCTTGAATTAGACCCTGTGTACAAACCACTCAGAAACAGAACCGAAAGTAATACCAACCACACCAGCAAACTGAAGCATATAAATAACAAGCGGAACAGAACACCAACGCTTCACCGGAGGCGTTACCCAGCAGGGTGACGAAACATTTACAACCAAACCCACCGACTTGGCGAGCAAGTCTATAACCTCATCCACAACCCAAGCTACAAGTCTTCTCGAAAACTTTAAAGAGAGAGATTTAGGGAGAGAGAGAGAGAGAGAGATGTTCAATTACCTTCAAAATCCACCAATTTTTTGGAGAGTTCTTGCTCCAGCTGAAATGAAATAATAATTACTTTACACATATTCAGTAATTTCTGTTAATAATTTATCAGACCTGGTACATATTCAAGGCTGACACTTCCAGTGCAATAGAGGGACAGCCACACTATCAAAGGTACGTTCTTTCAGATATTAGACCAATGTCCCACGTGCTCGTGGGTAAGAGATCTCACAATACTATTTTGAAGAAGTGCAGAAATGTATCGAGAGAGTTCTGGACAATATTTATGCATCAATCAACATCACCAAACACTCAGAAACGTGGTCACTTAGCTCACTGCTATCTTTGGGAGCTTGCTATTCACATAATTGGCTCCCACACTGCTTACATTACAGCAGTGATTTGACACATCCTTAGGTGATGAAAGGCAAGTCTCCTTCCCTATCTTTCTGCCAGCTAATTCATGCAGGAGAAAAATATGGAGGTGAGAACCAGAGAACTTCCCTATCATTATTTTGAAAAAAATCAACCCATATCATGTTTCCAGTTCAGGCACCTATAAAAAGTTAGACAACTTTATCTGGGCTTATATCAGGCTACATACCATTGAGGAAACCACAGCTCATTCATTTAATGCAAAAGTAATTGGTACAGGATCTCATGATAAATACAATGTAGGCATGATAACTTCTACAGAATGGGGACATTAAACTGAAACTATATAACCAGGTATGCTGGCATGTATTTTTAAAAGAAACCATTTTCCATTACTGTAATTGATCCAGGAGGATCATCCACAAGCATGAGCGTGGTTTTTTTGTTTAGGTCTGTGTATTTTGCTTTCTAAAAGAAAAATGAGATCTCTCCATGATGAACAAGCCCATGGTATGATACTGAGTCTAAAAGACAGGAAGGTTTCAGTCCAGCCATGGTTTATCTAAATCAGTTGATCTGATGAGTGAGCATGAGTCAGGATGGTGTTACACCTGCTCAGCTCAGGACTCAAACAAGCATCCAAGGTGAGGGATTTCTGATCAGTGGAGAGACAAGAGAAGCTGGAGTTGTTCTCTTCTGAAAAGAAAATAATAAGGAGAGATGCAAGAGAAGCATTAGAATCTTAGGACTTTCAACAGAATAAATAAGGAGAAACTGTTTCCAATGGACAGATATTTGGAAAGAAGAGGACACCAATAAATGGCCAAGTCTTAAGGGAAATTAGAATATGTACTGCACTAAAACAGGTCATTGGTTTTAAGTGCAGCAAGTTGTAATAATCTGGATTGCATTGTCTCAGAGGTTGATGGAAAGCAGGCTCAAAAATAACATTTGAAAAGGGATTGAGTAAATACTCACAAAAGGAAGAATTCGCAGGGTTATGAGAAAGAGCATGTGAAGTGAATTTAACCTGATAGCTCTTTCAAAGAACCAACACAGATTCCTTATTATCAAGGGATGAAAGATTGTTCAGGGGCATGCAGGAATGTAGAGCTGAGATTAAAGTCAGAACTTTATTGAATGGCAGAGCACTTGAAGGGCGAAACAGCCTACTTTTGCTTGTTTGTATGTTCACACAGGCAAAATAGACCAAATGACCTTCTTCCATGCTGTACAATTATATGATTCTGAGCTGTTAGGGATGACTTTTATTTAAAAATTCACTGTGGGTCATTGCTGGCTGGTTAGCATTTATTGCCAGTCACCAGTTCCTCTTGAGAGGTTGGTGGTGAGCTGCCTTATTGAACTGCTGCAGTCTCTCAATGCCCTTAGGAAGGGAATTCCTGGATTGTGATCCAGCACCACTGAAGGAATGGTGATATATTTCCAAGTCAGGATGGTGAGTGGCTTGGAGGGGAACTTGCAGGTGGTGGTGTTCCCATGTATCTGCTGCCCTTGTCCTTCTAGATGGAAGCGGTCGTGGGTTTGGAAGGTGCTGTCTGAGGATCTTTGGTGAATTTCTCATTCAGAAAAGTCTGGTCTGATGCTAGATAAGCTGCTGACGAGCCTCTTCTGAGCTGTGGTAACCCTGTAATCAAACAGGTCACACACAAAGTCACTTGGGGTGAGGTACTTAAGAAGGCTTGATCACTGAGGAATCATACCTCAACTCAGATTCAAAGTTTCAAAAACAGGGTAAAGAAAAGTGAGAAGAATGAACAAAGAATGAAAAGCAAGTTTATCTTCGGCCTCACTGTGGTCTCTGCTCTCCCAATTATAATACAGGGTTACCTGTTGCAGCCTAATCTTTCTCTTCCCTGCTGTGAACGAAGGTGGGTCACACTCTTCCTCCAAATCAATCTTCATAAACTCATCGATTGTTAACTGGCTGGTTGGTGTCTCTTCAAATTCATTAAGCCTGCAACAGAAGTTTAAAATAAAATCGCTGAAACAGTTTCAATAGCCGTTCATGCCTTTCTGTGGCGATAGCAATGATAGCTTCATACCACTCAATGGTGAACAGGTAACAATGTGACACCCTGTGAGATGTCTGCAACTCCTCTAATCCCTGTCATCCCCAATTTTCAATGCTGGCCATGCTGTTGTTTAAGCCTTTGAGCTTTGGACACCCTCCCAACACATCTCTGCGTTACTTTCTGCTTTCAAGAGGCTCCTTAAATCATTCCTCTTTAACCAAGCTTTTAGGATCTGATCTAATATCTCCTCATGTAACTTTGAGTCATATCAGCTCCTGTGAAACATTTTAAGATGTACCACTACGATAATGCCGTCATTGTAGTTGTTTTTACTCTATGTAATGCTGAGCAGGAGTGTATCTGATCCTCCCTACCCATCCCCCAACTCTGTTAACAGCTCGAGTGGGGGAGTCACTATTTGTTACACCACACTCCTATTAAGAAGGGAAGCTGAAGGCTACTACAATGTTAATGTTAATTATAGCTTGTTTAACAAGGCAAGCTTGAAGAACATAGTATCCTTGTGGTAAGAGATACCCAGGTGAGGAGAGGCTGCAAGAGCCCACGATACAATAATCACACACAGATTGAATAGAATAGAATAGGCTTGAAGGAACCGCTCTCTCAACAGACTGCTGCTTCACATCTCAAGCAAGCAGTAATATCAGGACTGACATTTTAGAGTGGGAGGAATGCAGATTGAGGAAACAAAAGAAAAAATTTGCAGAGCTATGGGGAAAAAGACAGGGAGAGGAACTAATTGGGAAGCTCTTTCAAAGAATAGGGAAGCGCAGTATGGCTTTAAATGCCATGCAATTGTACAAATTTAGTCAGTATGCCAATCCCAGACACATGCTAGCATTGACATAGGAGTGCCTCAATGAAGAACAAAACAACTACATTTGACACATGAGGAACAGTGAAATAAAACTGGATATCCACACACTATCAACTTATTGTTTGATCATTTTCCAAGATATTAAGCACTGTAAACATATTCCTGGGCAAAACTTTTCTCTCAAGGTTAAATAGGTGGAAGAGAGTTCATTAGGATTAACAGCCCTTGACTGACGTCCTTTTGTATCTTATAAGGGCAGTCCCATAAAAACAGGATGGTTGGTTACTCTGTTCATTAAGTTCTGTCAGTATAGTATAAATTGTACCAGTTACTGGACTTTACCAGAGACAGTGACAGTAGCAAATAACAGTTAGTCAGATAGTTGATATGAATCTGTGAAGAGTAGATCATAACTAACTAAACTGTAGATATATTTTTGAGAAGGTCACATACTTATGAATAATAGAAAACCAATGGATGTTGTTTATATGAATCTCCAAAAAGGCATTTAATAAGGTTACATTCAAGGAACAGTAAGCAAGATGAAAGTGTAAGAATTTGGATGAAATGGATCAGAAATTATTTAGGAGCTGGGAAGTAATTATGGAGTCAAAGGGAATATATTTGGATTGAAACTGAAAGAACTGCGGATGCTGTAAATCAGAAACAAAAACAGAAGTTGCTGGAAAAGCTCAGCAGGTCTGAGGAAGGGTCACCGGACCCTAAACGTTAACTTTGATTTCTCTTCACAGATGCTGCCAGACCTGCTGAGCTTTTCCAGCAACTTCTGTTTTTGTTGTATATATTTGGATTGAGTGGATATGGCAAGTGATGCTCCCCAGGCAATTATTCTATGAACACAGCATTTCACCATTTGTATCAAAAGTCTAGATGGAAAAATAGAAAATTGTATATCTAGGTTGCAGGTAGCAATAAGTTAGAAGGTACAGGAACATGTGCAGATAAGGGCAGGAATTTACAGCACAACACAGACCAAGTGAGTGAATAAAACTGACATATATAGTTTAATGTAGGGAAGTATGAGGGCATTCACTTTGAATCAGAGAAAGATAAATCATCATAATTTCTTAATGATGAAAGAACATTAGAGATGTGCAGCAGCAAAGGGATTAAGCTGGTCATGTGCACACATTACTGAAAGCTATTGCAAAAGTATCAGAAGCAATTAAAAAGGTTCAGCAGAATGTTGGCTTTTTCTCAAGAACAAAGCAGGCAGTCTTGGCCAGACCCCATCTGGACTAACAATGTTCATTTCTTTGGGACCATGTCTCAGAAATGAAGTCATGGCCTGAGAGAATTGCAACACAAGTTCCTTAGAATGATACCATGGCTGAGAGAGTGAAATTATTCAGACAGGTTCATTTGGATTCTTTAAGAATGTTGAAGCAAAGGTAAAGGCTTTTATTTAAGTAATGCCTTTCACCACTATGCAACATCAAAAGACACTTAAAAATTGTAGGAAGGTTTTTTTTT